ACAATATACTTGTTAAGGTAAGGTAGACACACATGCTGTTGTGCCTCAATTCTAGACAAGAGAAAGGCTACTTCTAAGTTGGAATTCAGAAAACCAAACCAAACCAAACCAAAAGACATAAGGTTTATAGGAAGTCGACTGCCGAGGCTACCAGCTCCTCCAGCAGACATCCAGCTCCTTGCTGCCTGGATTACCCTCCCCACCTGCCCATCTCTGGACTGCTAGAGACACAGAGGGTACAAATATTCTTTTCTCCTTTCTTGTCAGAAGCTTCAAAGAGAGTCTTAAACCCTTAATTCTTCTCAATGCCTAGTCCTTTGTTGCTGTGGGGATTTTTCAATATCACTTTCTGAAGTGGTATTTTTCAACAGAACTTTCGCGATGATGGAAATGCTTTGCCCCTCCCGACAAGGTAGTCATTTGGCAGCTATAGTTATTGAGCACTTGAAATATGAGATACTGACTGCAAAATATTTTAGCTCCAGATGGACCTATGCAGCAAGTGATGATGGACAGAGGTTCCATACAGTTTAAGATCATGGTTCACAGGACTCCATCAACACCATCTTTAGGCTTATGAGGTTATTTGATATGAATTTAATATGAGTTATGTCTTAATGGGGCCAGGGAGATCAGAAGTAAAATGTTGGCAATAGCAATAAGAAGGAATCTGGGGATCTCTAAGGAGGGGCTAATGAGTTCATTTGACTCTCAGTGTCATTTGGATTGAATTTTAATTTTTAAGCTAAGTTTTGGAGCAAGACAGAACTATCAATTCAGTGTAAAAATGTCTACTCTGTAACCCGACGGTGGTGGGGAATACCTTTAATCCCAGTTCTTGGGAGGCAGAGGCAGGCAGATCTCTGTGAGTTCAAGGCCAGCCTGGTCTACAAGCTCTAGTTCCAGGACAGGTTCCAAACAAAGTTACAGAGAAACCCTGTTTGGAAAAACCAAAATAATGATGATGGTGATGATGACGATGATGATGATAGTAAAAATGCCTACTCTGAAACATAGTATGAACTCACTAATAAGCGGATATTAGTTGTGAAGTAACAGATAATCATGCTAAGGTCCGCAGACTCAGGAAGGCTAAGTAACAAGGATGTCTTTGGGAGGGACACAAAGATATCGCTGGAATGGGTAAGTAGAATAGATTTCACAGGTGAACTGGGGGTGAGTGGGTTTGGAAACAGGAGGGATCAGGTGTGAGGGTAGGGAGAAAAGAGTGAAAGAAATGACTGGAATTGGGGGTCTTTTAGGGGGTAAGGTGGAAACCTATTGCAATGAAAAATGGAATCTACAAAAGCAATTCTAGCAAAGACTCCTAGTAATGGGGACACCTTAACCCACCATCTTCTGTCATCAGGCAAAGCCTCAAGTTGGGATACCAACCTAGCCACAAAATTTTTGACCTACAGTTTGTCCTGCCTGCAGAGTGTTCTGGGAATAGAGCCTAGCAGAATTCTCATCAAAGAGACCAGAGAGACTTCACCCAACAACCAATAGGAGCAGGTACAGAATCCCACAGTCAAACATTAAGCAGAGCTCGGGGAGTCAAGGGACACCACAAGAACATGGCCCACAGGATCAATTGACCAGGACTTGTGGGGGCTCACAGAGATCGGGGAGCCTGTAGGGGTCTGACTAGGTACTCTTTATATATGTTATGGCTGAGTAGCTAGCTTAGTGGTCTTGTGGGATTCCTAACAGTGGGAGCTGGGGTAGGGGGGTAGGGGGTTGCTGACCCTTTTACTTACTTATGGGACCCTTTTTCTCCTACCAAGTTGCTGTGCCCAGTCTTCATGTAGAACATATATGCCATGTTTGGTTGATGTCCTGTGAGGTCTGCTCTTTTCTGAGGGGAGATAAGGAGTGTGGATCTTAGGGAGGGGGAGATGAGGGGGAAACTGAGAGGAGGGGAGGGAGGGAAAACTTCAGTTGGGATGTAACATATGAGAGAAGAATTTTAAAAAAATCTACTGTGTCAATGCAATCACTATGGCTACAGGAATCCAATGACTGAAGAAATTTCACTACAAGCTGTTAAAAAGAAGCAAGGAGAAGTGAATGGGATATCAGAGTGCTAGAATGACCAGTAATCTCAGGACCACCCCTGATGATTTCTGTACTTGGGAGAATTGGGGAGACCCCAAGAAATGATGGATGAAAGGACTTAGTATGATGCACAGCCTATGAAAGCATTTTATAGATACTTGCACTTACAGTGATCTTTATTTCGGCCTAGATTATTTTCGACCCCTCTTCCAAGTCCCTTTGAAGCTATGCAGAACTACTTACTTTTGCGGAATGGACTAGGTCAGAGAGAGTATAGATAACAAGGGCATGTTGAGGACAGTCTTAGTACCATCCTATTTGTGAACTGCTTCATAGGAAATATGTCACAAAAGAGGTTTATGCCTCTCAGATACACAGAGACAGACGGTACTGGACTAGTAGAATCAGAAGAGGAAAAATCCAAGAGAAAGAGTAGCTAAGAGGACTGTCTGTATGTTAGACATTTGTGGTATATCATTATACTAATATCATCTAGGCTCGTGAGCCATGGTAGCATCCATGCCTGGCCAACCAGAACACCATGAGGTGGCAAAAAGGTGGGAAAGGGTAACTGGGTAAGTGGCATTGTGGGTGAGTATTTCAGGTCCTGTGGCTTAGAGGGAAGGGTACTGGCTCTTCAATACATTTGTAGGATTTAGATACTAACGTTTCAATTATGTGACCGCAAAGAGTGACTCCTCTGGGTTCCCAGCCACTCCTTTCAGTAGAGCAGTGGTGCCGATTACATGCTCAGACTAATCTAAATACAACAGCACAGATCTAAATATGAAAGCAGATGTGGATTTCCAGGTTCAGGGCTCCGCTCTTCTAGTTCTTGTCCTTCCAGGAAAGCCTATTGATTTAGCCTCCAACCTGTTTCTAGAAACTTGGAGCTCAAGTTGTGTGAACAGTTGTAGCAAGCATAAGACATCTGGGAGAGTGGGAGTGAGTGACAGTGGGTGGGCGAACAGATTAAAGAAGAAAGGGTTAGAAAACAGTGGTGTGTGGAAAGGGGAGGAGTACCCCTTCATCATTGACGAAAGCCCAGTCCTCATCTGTTGCTGAGAGTCAAATGTACGATCGAGAACATGAAAGTGATGTGGACAGGGGAGGTAAGCGGTACAGACTGTGAATCCATCCCCTGCATCAAGATCCCTCACCTCAGTTTTCTCATTTGTGTTATAGGTATGGTTAAGAGTTGATGTGAAGTTTAAAGAAGATGGCATTGTCTAGCAGACTGTAGGTGTCCGACAATTAAATATCCTCCTAATGTACATCCCCCAATTGCCTTTCTCTTTTCGTCATCTGACCCACAAGACACAGTTAAAGAAACAAGCTCAACACTGTATTAAAATTGGTGTTTGGAGGATGCAAACAACACGCGGTGGTGAGAGAAGGGTGCCCCACACAAGCACAAATCTCTCTCTCTTTTAATGACTTCACTTGTTTTTCTGTAGCCTTACAATGCTTCTGTTTCTAAAAGCCACAGAAATGCTTAGCAGGACAGCATCCCTAGCCGCTTTTTCAACAGTTTATGGACCGGAAGACTTGCGTCAGGCAGAATGAGGCATCATCCAGAGTTATAAAGTCATATCCTGGAACGACAGGGGCCCTTGCTCATCCACCCAAGAGAGCTGGGAACCTCTCAAGCAAGTCCGGGGGAAGCAGAGAACTGGGAAGGCAAAGGATTCTCACTTGTTTTCTAGTTGAGCACCAGACTACGTCCTTTAGGTTAATATATCTCAGTCGCAGGGAAAGCTAGCCAGAAAGTGGGGACCCCACGAGCTCCCGGGTATTTACCTCCAAGCAGGCAACTTTCAGCACCACGGACAGCGCCCCGCCTCTCGCCAGCTCTTCCGCCTGAGCTCCCAGTTCTCTCCGCGACCCGGGAGAAGAGGCAGGTTATCCCTGCATCCCTAGGCTACTGGGTCCTGTTACTGCCTCCGCCAGTCAGGCGTACATCCTTTGAGCCTCTGGACTCAAGATCTCAATGAACCGAGTTTCGCACACGTAGCGGGATCAGTACCAAGAACAGGCGACAACCCTACTGCTCCTTCCTTCCCTCCTCTTTTCTCTGTCTTTCTTTCCGTCCCTTCTGAGTCATTTGGCAGCCTCTATCTTACAGCTCGATCGTACTTTAAAATGCACATTTGACGGGGGAGGAGGTGACTCAGGGGAGAAAGGAAGCTCAGAGCCACGCCACTCTATTCTGGCCCTCAGAATTCGTGGGAAACTGAATGTGCTTCGGGGCTGGGGAAAAGGCCAGGCTAAAGATGCGAAATAGCTCGGACGAAAGTCGCCTGCTCTGGGCAGCAACGTACGCGGATACCTCTCCCGTCACATCCTTCTCAGCGCCTCATGGTGTCCCGGTTGGCTGGGGACAGATACTCCCCGTGGCGCACCAGCCTAGTCCGGGCGTCGGGCTCCCCTGGAGTCCCTTTGAAGAGTTTTGCTCAGGTAAAAGGACAGATTGTTGTCCCCGCCTTCCTCAGGGACTGAGGCCCGGAAAACATCTCTTCTTTTTCCAAGGGCTCAGACCCAGGCCGAGAGCCCAGTTGCCCCAGCAAGGTGCGTTCGTAGGCTTGGAGGACAGGATGGGCCCCGGCTGCGGAGACCCGGGCGGCCCAGACTCGCAGCATCTCAGCCTGGCGCTCCCGCCGCGGCGGAGGCTGCGCCCAGCCTGTCAGCTCCCGCGTGTCCCCACACCGGAGACGCTACCAGGGGCCCCATTCCCTGCTGGAGCCCGCGCGACCCTGACCTCGCTTCTTTTTCCTTCCAGAGACCCCCTTCCCATAGGTCGCCCTCAACCTCCGCGCCATGTTCCCGCTTCCTCCCTTTGGGTGCCTAGGACTCCCTGATTCATCTTCGTCTCAGATGTCCAGTTGGGAAAACAGGGGCTGCACAAGGGGCACAGCCTGTGGTAAAGGGGGGAATCCACTCACCAGAGGGGCTGGAGGTGATGGCCTGGATGCTGATGGCCGGCGATCTGCACTTACAGCTGAGGTGGGAGCGGCGATGGTGGTAAAGGAAGACGAGAGGCAGCGGCTGCTGCTGAATCGCTCCTCAATTATTCAGATCTAAACCCCTCCGCACCCCTCCAGCGCCTGCCAGTCTGGTCTCCAGCTTGCCTATCTCCGCCTCCTTGCAGTCACGTGGCTAGCCCAGCCCCTTCCATTACCGGGGGACTAGCACCGCTCCTGAACATCCCCTCCCCCTTCCTCCCGGTCTGTCACTCACCCGCCTTCCTGAGCTTCCAGGTGCGGCCTCCAGCCTCCTGCGTTCCTGCTGTGTGGAGCAGAGGAGCCGGGTTCTCTGCCCTGGAAACGCAGGGTGGGGTAGGGCAGGACTCTGCAGTGTCGCTGTGCTGGATGGGATGGTTTCTGGAACCAGCTCCACCTCTCCTGCACAGCGTTTTCGTTCCCGGTGAGGAGCCCTTGATGACTCTTACCCTTCTTTCGTCTACCTCAACGCTGTGGGAAAAGGGTGATGGAAACGTTGGTTTTCCCCTCAGCTCTCACAGAAGACAAGACCCAAAGCTCAAATAGACCAGGTTTCTTTTAGAGTCCACAACGTTTCAAGGATTTGAGGTTTTTGAAGACCTCCAAGGAATTTCCATCTATGACATAGCTTTTCTTTCCTTGTCTGCGAAATGAAAATCTCCCAGGACTCTAGAGACAGTGGTCATCGTGTTCTTGAAGTTGTTTAGCTCTGTGCTGGACATGGACAGGCAGCAATAAACAAGAGTTCTCCTCTTGCTTCCGTTAGAGATCATTTCAGAAACGAGAAGAGCGGGATGTGTCTGTCAGAAGAATGGAGATGTCCTTTGGAATGTAGAGTCTTCCATGAGGTCAGACTAGATAAGGCAGTCAGGTCAAGGGGACAGAGGAGATGTGTGACTCTTTTATTTTACACTTGTCCCTTAAAGTGAGTGTCCTGGAAGCATTTTCTGTCGCAAAAGGACTATTCAGTGTGGTGGCATGGACCATTAACCTCAGCACTTAGGAGGCAGAGGCATGAGGATTTCTGTGAATTCAAGACCGGTCTTATCTACATATCAAGTTCCAGGTCAGCTTGGGCTACATAGAAAGACCCTGACTCAAACAAATGGACAAACAAGATAGGAAATAGATGATACCAACCCTAGCACATCTGATCTCGTTGGTGAATCAATTAATTACCATGCATTGAACATAGATTGACTTGGATTCACAGTACACTCATCAATTCTTCGACCCTCATCAAAGCCCTTAAAGGATATGTCCGTTGATGGCATGCAAACTTGTAGCAGAAATAGAAGTGATGAAGCGTGTTGTGTGCAGGGGGAACACTGACTGACTACCATCCTTTCGTGGAGGGCAAGTTCAAATCTAACTCTAGGTTGTGGATTGGTCTGGACTCCAGGGGTCTGGGTTTCCTCTGGGATCAGGTCCTCTGGTATCATGGTATCATGGCACATCCACCTCCCTTAAACTCATCTCCGCCTGAGCCCGCATCCACGCCTTCCTGAGACTGCATCCACGCCTTCCTGAGACTGCATCCACGCCTTCCTGAGACAGCACTATGACTTAAGCTTTGAAGTAGTCATTCATCCCATACCAGACTTCTTGGGATCCCACCAAGTTGTGAGATATTGTAGAAGAAGAGTAAAGCTAGGAACGCTGGTGCAGGCTCTGCCTGGGACTTAGCTGATCTCTTGAGACCTCAGAGCTTTATCTTGAAAACAGGGAGAGAATGTCTGCTTTCTCTAGGAGACAGCTGTGATGTTCAGATGGGCTAATAGTGCTAATGATTGAGAAGTCTAGGTGACAAAAAGCAAGCGATACATCCGAACACTGTGGACAGAGGGAAATGCTGAGGCTGCCTTAGTCCCGGGGTATTGTGGGATTTAGGAGAGGGACTCGGGTTTGATAGGGAACAGCTACTGAGAAACAACATGTCCCTGGAAGTTTCCAAGTAAGCCTGAAACCCAGGCTGTGTGAGTCTCGGGGCTGCACTGTCACCCTTCTCTGGGATGTGGGTTTTTGAAATTAATATCTTTCCACCCACAACTATGGCTTTTATCTTTTGAACACTAGTCAAAATCTCAGTAGTTATGAGTTTTAATATTTGGTGGGATTTTGTGCCTGTACTTTAGCACAGCAGGGTTTGGGTTGGTAATTTCAAAGGGGGTCAATTTCAAATCCCAAACACTCTTAATCCAAGAGCAGTTTCGGGGTCCTTAGCAGAGTGTGGGTGGGGATGACTGGTTTCTAGTCCACTGCTAACTGGACTGTCCTGGTCCAGACCAGAGAAGCCCTGGCCCTTAGGCAAATTCCAACCCCCAGTCCTGGTATACTTCCCTTTAATAACCTTTAGATTTCTATCTGGGCCTCCTTATTTAAGGAAACCGTAGACCCAGAGGGAGTCATCAGTGCCTGCACACAGTCCTTTAACCTCTGTTCTGGTGACGGGACGCCTCTGACTCCCTACCTGTTTCTGCAGTGCTCTCGGGAGTCACATAGAAGAATAAACATCAGATCATTTAATCTGGTCTTGCAAATCAGTGCCATTGTCAGCAGTTACTTGAGTACGTTTGCATCTTAGAAAATTCGGGATATGTTCACGGTAGTCACTGTAGGACTCTGATAAGAGCCAAATTGGTTTCAAGAGCCCAAGACAGCTTTACCCAGCAAAGTGCAGAAGCCGGGACCTAATTGCCAGAACTTGCATAGATTTCAACACAAGGTGACATCTTAAGAGGATTTCTTGGTAAGGTCCCTTTAGCCTCCTCCTTCACTTGAGAGCTCCTGGTGACTATCCTGGTGACCACTGACCTTGTTGAACAGGAATACTGCCAAGTACTTAGAGCTATGGGCAGCAGTAAGGATCAGCACACATCACACTAACAAAATTAAGCAATGATGTTTCACAGTAACTGCTAATTAGGTCGGGACAGGCCACATCTTAGTTTTCTTGTTCCAGAAAGCAGATTATAGAAGTATTGATTGATGTATTGAATACATTTTTGAGATACTCCGGATGCAGCATCTGATAATGCAAAAATGATTTCTGCTCTACAGTGCTAAAGCTGCAGAGGAAGCAGCAGGTTGAGAATAAAGCAGCATTGGCCCCAGTAACACTGGGGTACAATAGCACTGTAACTTAATGATGGAGAACTGACATGCACAGATGCAAACACAGGACTTCTTATCCATGACCTTTCTGGTACTGTGTATCAGCAGGGTCATGAGTAACATCCCTCTGGTTGAACTGCTTAATGGGGTTGGCACGGGCTTTAAAGCAAGGGTTTGGTTTTGTCTCCTGCTTCATGAGGGTGAAGTTTTAAGCTTTTTCCCCTTAGAAGAATTCCATGCTCAGTGGAGCTCTTGCCTCTGATAGATTCAAAAACTAAGAAATCTGAGGTCCTGTAGCCTCCTGATTGGACAGAGCTGGTGTGGAGCCCTTCTGCTGGGAACAGTGCCTCTGGTTGCAGAGGAACAGAAGGCCGACAACTGAAACCCAGCATTTGTCAGTTCACCTTAGAGGCATGCTGAAGAAATATCCTGGAACTGGAGAGACAGCTCAGCTCATGTGCCTACTATGAAAATATGAAGGCTTGTGTTTAGATCCCCAGCACCCACCCAAGCTGGGAGCCCCACTGTGTGCCTGCAACTCCAGTGCTGGAAAAGGGGTGGAGCAGACAGACTCAGAAGCTTATTGGACAGGCAGCCTATACAAACCAAAGAGCTTCAGATTCAGTGAGAGATACTATCTTAACAAACAAACAAACAAACAAACAAAAGATGCTCAGCGTTGTGGTTTACACCTCTAATCCCAGCACTCAGGGGCAGAGGCGGGCAGATCTCTGTGAGTTCGAGGCCAGCCTGGTCTACAAAGTGAGTTCCAGGACAGCCAGGGGAAAAAACAAAAACAAAAAAAAAAAAGAAAAAAAGGAGAGAGAGAGAGAGAGAACTGTCTAGAAAAGATGCCTGATATTGATTTCTGTTCTCCACATGCACACTTGTCCCATGCACACACCTAAGCTAAAATATGCGTAGATCGAATGCACAACACAACTCTCCTCATACACGCAATTTTAAACAAAAAAAATCAATAAATCAATGACTACTTGATTGCTGAATATTTACTAATCTTCAAGTTTTCTACTGGATATCTAAATTTCCAGAGAACGTTCCGAACATGCCTGTTTCATCCCCAAATGTATAATCCAACAGAGTACTCTCCTTGCCCTCAGCCCATACACAGCAGAACACTGCTTTGTGGGTGTTGCTGTGTAAAGGGGTCAGAGGTCAGGGATGCCAAACAAATGATTTCCTAGCCTGTAAAGAAAGATCAAAACAAATATACCCCACTATGTGCTTTCTTTAAGTGCAGTTCTTCCTACAGATCAATCTATTTGAAACTTTTCCTGTCACCGCCTTATCTAGAAAGCTGGCAGTGTTTGCCGCAGATGAAAGACAACAATTGGAAAGACAATAAAGCAACGTTGTCATATTCCGTCTGACCACCTTCGCCTCTCCCAGAATTCAACATCACCTAAATCCATTTTCTTGCTAAAATGAGTTCTAACAGTTATAGTGAGATGGTAAACAATACTGGCTTCAAATTGAGATTTTTTTTCCATAAAATAACCAGAAAAATTGACAAATAGTACACAAAAAATCAACTTTGAACTCTAAAGTCATGTAATGTCAAGTTCAGCTAGCATCTAAATCAGGGTTTTTCCAGCTTTGATGCACACATGAACTATCTGGAGATCCTGTTAAAAATGCAGACCTGGGTTCAATAGGTTGGGATGGGACTTAAGAATTTATATTTTTTCTATTTTCTCTTACTATGTGTGTATGTATTCATGTACACGTGCTTGTGAGCAGGTGCATTTGTTCATGTATGTGTGTGCACATGTTCATGTAAGCAAGTGCCTGTGTGTGCTCAGATATGGACATGTTCGTGAGGCAGCTAGGAAGAAGACAACTTTGGGTGTCATACAAAGAGCACCATCCACTTACCTGGAGACCAGGTCTCTCGTTGGCCTGGAACTCACTCTAGCTTAATGCTAGACTGGCTGGCCAGTTAGTCCCAG